TTGTTTTGATATTATTTTCAGATTATTAGAGAAGAGTTCGGAATCGAATCTATCTCTCAAAAACGTGTTGTATGTTAGGCAAATTGAAACTTCCCAACCTGGTGGTGCTACACGTGCAACAAGCCACCTTAGGCCAACATTAGATGATGTTATGCCTACATGTGTGCTAAAACATAAAACTATTTAGAAAAAACTAAAAGTTTATATGTGTATTAATCTTTCTTCTTTTGATACCAAGGGGTATGATAGATAATAGAGCTAATTCCTAAACATATCTAGACTCGTACCGCTGCGTTTCCAGTTCACTGTGTTAACCAGATCGTAGCGTTTCTTGAATATGAAATGTCATCATTTTTTAAGACTGGATTTTCGGTTATCAAATCACAATTACGATAATGTATGGTGTGTTGAAGCTTTGGAATTTACTCTGATGCTCTAATCTAACAAATCATATGTCTTGACAAAAGGGTTTTGACCGGTAGAAGGACAAATACGTTTATGAATTTTGATAACTATACTGGTTCGTACTGCTCTTCCTAATTGCTTCAAACTAAACGTCAACAGCCAGCCAAGTACAACATGAATATCACACCCATCGAATGGTATACTCGAAATAAGTAACACATACCTCTTATTCCCATTATTGGCGAAATCGTCAGACGGCTCATCATTCCCACCCGCCATTTTTCCTACTCAGGAGCGTTTCTTTGTTTAGTTTCAGTAATGAAACGCTCCGTCGTGTATTTAAGAGCGTTTGGGTTGACACCGTGGTTTAAGAACGGTATAACAATAAAAATGACGTTTTACGAGCATGAAATAGGTGTTTTTGTAACATCCCCCTAACTCATTGTAGTGGCGTGGTTAAAAGAGAGGGAGATGTTATTGGTTTAAATGATGAGCTTTATTCTTAGTTAATTATGGGGGGTGTAAAACATCTGTCTTTACAATGAGTCTTATAAGAAATAAACTTTTATGTCGATAAAAGATGGCGTTCTGGTAAAAATCTCTACATCTTGATTATACTGGGAATTGTCTCATGGAAAGGGGGGATAATATCACTCACCTTAAGAAATATAACATGACAAAAGTCTTAAATAAATAAGGGTTATGTACTGGGAGGTTTTGGATATGGGGTTTATCCAGAGGGAGATATGCATATCTACCTGAGGGACCGTAGGGACCGAAGGTAGATGTGCATATCTCACGAGGGATGAACCCAATATCCAAACCGACCGTACATAACTGCTTTATCCTATACCAAGTAGAGTTTTCAGGGGCATAGTCCTTTTATTGCATTTCACCTTTTAAATTTTAAATACATTGATAACTTTTTGAAATACAAAAGTGTTGTTTAACAATATAACAAAAGGATAAATGTATCCAAAAAATTTTAATATACATATTTTTTAAATTGAAAAAGCAATTTGAAAAATAAATTTTGAAAAAATAATTGTGAAGTGAAATTACCGGAAGCGGGAAGATATGCACCGAAGCGGGAGATATGGGGGGAGATATGGAGGTTCTGGATATGGAAACCTCAAAATCAAGATACGGGATATATCTTACCAACTTTTCTCCCTAAAACTCTACTTGGCATAGGATAAAGAAACATATTTACAGGTGTATATTTGTATATTTTTATGATATAAAAGAAAACAATGACAACAGTAACAATTAGTTATGAATATTCAAACTGTGTTCTGGGAGAGGTTTCTCAAAAAGTGACTAACATGGACTAACAATGACTAGCACGAACTATAACAAGTGTCTAACACAAGCTAACAAGTGACTAGCAAGTGATTAACACGAGTTTCATGGTTGGAAATTTGCAATATGAATGCCGGTAAGATTGGAAAAGAGATTGGGAAAGCTGGACTTTGGGGTACTTTGGGAAGGGGAAATACATCTTTCTAATAGGATACATGGTCCTGGGACTAGAGTAAGATGTAAAGGCGATCCTGGGCAACTTTTGGGCCGGAGCATTATATACATTTCAAGGCAACTTTCATGTCAAATCTCGTAACAGAATGTCATAAAACATATATCAATTTGTTGATCATCATTTGATTAATACAAATATATATTTACCTAACACCAATAGAGTCGGAATACTGCAAAATCGATCGAAACGCAGGAGATATATCCATTAGCAGCCTTACAGTTGAAATCTAAACAGAACACAAACCAAACTTCTCAACTGAGGAAAAACTTACGCCGAATTACTATACTAACTTAACAAATAAAAGTATTTCACACCTAATACTGATACCAAAATATGATTAGCATAAATACGCTAAATACAGAAGCTGTTATTAAAGTCAATTACTTATAATTAATGCTAATTACTGGATCAAATCTTGGAACTATATTCTGCACTTTTTGCACTTAAATATCAATACGCCATCACTGAAAAGTATGTATCTGGAGATTGGCATTCTTCTTAGAGAGTGAATATCAGCTAAATGCATATAAAGATACAACTTATAAACAATTAAAGTTAAAATCTAATTAAATATAGAGATAAATACAACTTACTAATTAATGTCGGAAGATTCCCGTAAAAATATGTAGGAGGTTGACAGGTCTGTAAATTGTAGTGGTGAGTTGACAGTTGACATCTTCTGTTCTGCATCCCTAAAACATTGCCACACAGACATCCTATCGTGTAGTAGCAAAACGCCAGAGAGTAAACCAATAACGGAACAGGGTCACACCATCGGTACATAAGTCAAATTTTCATCTTCTCACAAATATGAATGGATATAAGGGACATGGGACACATCATCTCATCAACAGGGGCAATTGAAATGATCAACTCATTTCTAGGGGGATTATGGTACCTTAACAGGTCATCAATCTTGGATAACTCGTAACATTGGGATAAATATTATTTCATTCATTTCCAGGTATCTCAAGACATTGGGATTTTCCGATGAGATCTTATCTGGTCTAACTTGGACTTTTGGACTTATAATGAGATTCTGTTTCATAGAAACAATAATATATTCAAGTTTCATAGAAACTTTTTAACTATTCTATTTGAATTCTTTCACCACGGGCGGGACCTCCATCTTTTGGAACTATATGGAATAATGGAATAATGGGACAGCTTGGGACTATCAAGCGCTAATTCGGTCTTTATTAGAACATTACTTGTCTGACTTGGTCTACTTGAAAAACATCCACCTTGTTGATTCAATAAGAACAATGTCTGACTGTTCCGAAACTTATTACTTTATTTACATTCTATAAACATAAAATATTTACATTTTTTACACTGTCTAAGGGTTTACTGTATACTAACCAGTCTCCAGCTGGCGAAAAGACATTTGTACATTGAGCTCTTTGCCCAAAAGTAGCAAACTCAAATGGGAAAATTGCCCTATATACATCAATAAGGACTAATTTATACGGGAACAATAGTATCTGGGAGTGTGACTTCACACCAATCCACATCGGATTTAGGCTCAATAACAGACTTCCTACTATTCAGGACAATTAACCCGGCCGGTGCAATAACAACATTAAAAGGGTATATCGGACCCTTTTTACATCAAATACAGTCTCTGAATTATTCAGGGAATCCAGACCCAGAATGCATGGATATTGGATACAAGCAACATACATTGACTATAAGATATTAACCCCTACCCACAGCTATTTGACACTCAACTTCCCCTGGGATGAGACATTGATTGCCACTGGTGACAGTTATGGCCAAAACTGCCTCGCTAAATGTGGGCTTTTAGACTAAACAGTGGAGAATACTGCCTAATCATATAGACAATACTACCTAAACTTATAGGCAATAACACACCTGAATTTAATATCATCGGCCCCTTGCAATCGACTATTTACAAAGATCTCATGTGGGCTGGGATGAGGTCTTACTTACTGGTATATACATTATATTTATTATCTAGATAAGAGCACCCGATTACTCAACTTATCGGGTCGGGTCTGGTGTACGCACTGTGGTTAGGACAGGTGCCATGTTCTGTTAGTGGAGAGACAACAGAATTAGTTAAAATTGATGCCAGGGGTATTGACATCATGGACTATTGAGGATTTGGATACAGTGTGGAATATATCACATCTCATGACTGATATTATTGGGCAAAGTCTGAACTGAACTGAACATCATGACAAACAAAAAGAGAAACTCACAAACAAAGGGATGGACAGGGATATTAATTTATCATGATAATGTGTTACAAGGGCCTTTATAGGCATCGTTCAAGTATCGATGGTTTCACTGTAATAGAATAAAATGGTATGGAAGGTGGGGAAACATACCATAAGAGTACATAATGGAGGTGGCCACTATAACAGGAAGTAGATTTAGGGAAAACTACTTCATCAATCAAAAGGGACAGTCCCTATGGTAGGCTATGGGGACTGGGTGGTCTGAATAGTTTCACTGTACGTAACTAAAAACGGACATGGAATCCGGACATGAAAAATGTGGGTCTTGATAGGGCGGGACCTATCAAAATTCCGACGCTGCCAGCCAGTGTAACATCCCTTCAACTCATTGTGGTAGCGTGGTTAAAAGAGAGGGAGATGTTATTGGTTAAAATGATGAGCTTTATTCTTAGTTAATTGTGGGGGGTGTAAAACATCTGTCTTTACAATGAGTCTTATAAGAAATAAACTTTTATGTCGAAAGAAAGATGACGTTCTGGTATAAATATCTACATCTTGATTATACTGGGAATTGTCTCATGAAAGGGGGGGATAATATCACCTTAAGAAATATAATATGACAAAAGTTTTAAATAAAGAAACATATTTACAGAAATGTTGTAAAACTGTGTTATATAATAATGACACTGAAATCCTGAAATCGTTTCTAGTCTTTGCCGCTCAAGGTGAAAAACGTTATCTCTGCTAAAACAGTCGCATTGTTACCAAGGATTATAGGTACATTTACTGTCAACTTGTCAAGTAGGCATTGTAAATAAGTATATGACATGGTGCGAGTATAGTATGTTGGACTATGGACCAATAGAGGGTACTTTATTTAAAAGTGTTGCAGACATAGCGGTTAGTAAGACACGCATTATATTCAATATATTATTCTTAATTGGCATTCGAAATTAAAAATATTGCTCATTTTTCATTCAGATATTTATGCTTATATGTATATATGTTGTTTATCCCTTTAATGATAGATCATTTGCTGAGATTTTAGTATTGACAGACAGTACAATAATCGTCCTCTGGCTAGCAAATGAGGTTTCTTCCCCTATATTATAGTGTTTCAGATATAATATTTCCATTTTTAGGCAATATGAAAGTGGTTGCAGTTTTTATTGTGGCACTTCAGTTAGCGATCGGTGTTGAAGTCGATGTAAAAACGACGATATCAGGATTTGTTGTCACATTAGATGGAATAACGGTATGTATTGGTTACAAGGAGGATTGGCAGCCATTATTCAAACTCAAATTCCGTTGCGTGGCGTGGAACAATTTAGTAAAAAATATTTCTATAAGGTTCCCTTTGGATCAAGTATTTCGTTGGAAGATGAACATTACGCATATCATGGTAATACTCAAGCTTCCTTGGTAGCCGATCTAGCTCCTCTATTCCAAAATATGAGGAATATTGTTACCAAATTGATTTACGTCGGGCAACGGAGTATCGAGTTTGAATAATGGCTACCAATCCTCCTTGGATTGGTTGATAAGGAAATTCCCAATTACATTTTCATGTAACAAGCGCTTCAAAGAGGTAGCTACTGATTAGTGCAAGAAGCCTCTAGAAAAGGTACCCTGCATGCAGAGTCTAGTTAATAAACTACAAAGACAAGCTCTCTTTTAAGAAGTGAAGTCAAACGAATGCAAAGGGTATAGAAAAGGCTAATATATGGAATAAAAAAATTCACATACGTTTTGGGTTGTTTTTAGACACACGTTCCTTATCATCATTTGGGCATTGAATTTGTTTACATTACTACGGAATAAGGCTAATAGCTACCTGTAAATTGGATTAAAACTTTTGAAACCCTGAAAATTGAGATAACTGTACATTTTAAAATGAAAATTGCAATTCAAGTTGAAGGACTTGTTACATTATATTTGCTGGAATTACACATGGCGTTTTACAAAAGTGTCTTCGGTTTCAACCAGGTTTAAGAATTAGGTGTAATCACGATTGCGGTTTTACAAAAGCGCTTTTCTAAAACTCCAAGAACCCTATTGTCACTAGTAAACGGCATAAGTCGTTAGGCGCTTTAAGTGTGCAGTGTAATACCGATCGGTTTTTGTAAGACGCCTTACCCGGGTTTTTACTAGATTTTAACATTTGCCCTAAACGAAATATTTGATACATTTGAAACATTTGATACATGATGAGACATCCGGTCACGCTGCTATGTGGCTATATATCTAAATTGAAAAATGGATGATGGTCGCCAGGTCACATCGAAATCAAGTGTTATCTTCAGAGAATATGTACATATTTTTCTTTTACCTTTTTATCATGTTATCTCATAATTAATAAAAGATAAATAAAAATTATGCAATGTCATGCATTTTTAATCAAATTATGGAAGATCAGTTTTGTCTTAAATGCAAAAAGAATACATTTACAGGAGATGTACACATACATGTATGCTGGATATTATCCATAACTACATCGTTAAAAGTGCACGAAAGGCGTTTTAGAAAAAAACCAGGTGTAATTCCAAAATGTAATTCCTAAGACGCTTTAGAAACGTTGGTGTAATCAGAATGGCGATTTTGAAAAGCGCCTTCCACTAAAACGTTTTAGCAGATTTAGTGGTGTAATTCCAGCAAGTATTACTAAGAACCCCTGGCACTATATAACTGCAAAATTTGGGGTATATAGGTTGGAAAATAAAAAAGTTATAGTTGCTGGAATTACACATGGCGTTTTACAAAAGCTTCTTCGGTTTTAACCAGGTTTAAGAATTAGGTGTAATCACGATTGCGGTTTTACAAAAGCGCTTTTCTAAAACTCCAAGAACCCTTGTCACTAGTAAACGGCATAAGTCGTTAGGCGCTCTAAGTGTGCAATGTAATACCGATCGGTCTTTGTAAGACGCCTTACCCCGGGCGCCTTACCCGGGTTTTTACTAGTTTTTAACATTTGCCCTAAACGAAATAAGACCTCGTATCTAAATTGAAAAATGGATGATGGTCGCCAGGTCACATCGAAATCAAGTGTTATCTTCAGAGAATATGTACATATTTTTCTTTTACCTTTTTATTATGTTTTCTCATAATTAATAAAAGATAAATAAAAATTATGCAATGTCATGCATTTTTAATCAAATTATGGAAGATCAGTTTTGTCTTAGATGCAAAAAGAATATATTACAGGAGATGTACACATATATGTATGCATAAGTACATCGTTAAAAGTGCACGAAAGGCGTTTTAGAAAAACAGGTGTATTTCCAAAATACAATTCCTAAGACGCTTTAGAAATGTTGGTGTAATCAGAATGGCGATTTTGTAAAGCGCCTTCCACTAAAACGTTTTAGCGGATTTTGTGGTGTAATTCCAGCAAGTGTCTTGAAAAAAGTGGCGTTTTTTGCCACCCTGTATATATCGTGTTTTGGATATGCAATATTTTAATTTGAGAGCGAATCCATATCGAATGGTATACCTTTACCAGAAGTTTGGTTTTGCTTCTTCACTATTTACTACTTGGTCTTACCCACAGGGTATAAATGACAAAAATCAGTACAAAATTATTTTCAGATAATGGAACAAAGCGAAATGAGTCCTATGCTTGCTGTTGGAGCTGGCAACAGAGACGTAATGGAATTCCGAGGTAATTTTCACATCAAGGATGAGGTTGTGTCCAGGATTCCACTTAGAAGGTCTTCGGTTACAAAGATAGACGATACTTGGCAAATTGTGCTTCAAGAGAGCGGGTCATCTAACGAATATCAGGTATGCAACTAGACACATGGATTGTGCTATTATTGGTTATACGATAATTGTTATTTAAGAAATATAGACCGAAGAGCAGGGACCTATTAGGTCTTTGGCACAAAAGCTTTCGAACCACTCACTCCCTTCGGTCGTTCGGGGTACAGAAAACGTTTGTAAACGAATATAACCCAGCTGAAGCATTGACTTTGTTCACAGTTTATAGAAGGCGTGAAAACAGTCATGTTCGAATTTACGATAACTCCCAACTCTCTTATAAATGTTCTGTAAAATAATGTGAAATTACAAAGAAAAACAGAAATTATCTTTTTTTCTGAATCAAGATGGAGTTTTGCCCAGTTGGTCTCCTGGTGAAGGAAAGCGCGCAAGCATAAAAATTTCATCCAAATCAGGTGATGTTTAGACCTCCCCTACCACATTTTCTGATGCCCATTCGCTAACCTTATCTGAAAATTGCAGAAAGTGTCGTTTTCATCATGTTTGAGACCCATGTTTTACCAAAGGCACTAAGGTAATTTGCCTTAAATTCATTTAAAATGTTGTTCAAAATGTGTTTGATCCATGGTCAAACAAAGGAGATGGTACTTTGCCTAATTTTTTAGAAAATAATTGTTTAAGCATTGACTAACCTGTGTCAGTTTTTTTAGCAAGATTCAGGCATTGACAGAATGAATTCTAGAGGACCTATGATCCTGAAAATTACAGATGCAGCAGATCAGGCTGGTCAGGTCTCACCTCCTAAAAGGTCAGGTCTCACCTCACCACCTCCATCAGGACCCTACAGGTTCTAATCATGTAGTTATGGCAAAAAGCCATTGTGTGTGACGCAATTTAAAGTCTCTACCATTTTCAGGTGTGCATAATTCGATGATTATGCGATATTGAGCCCTGTATCTTTCTGGGGTGAGACCTAGGACCTAACATTTAGCACTTGCTCTTCTTAGAGATGACAGTTCTTCTACAAATAATTCTTAAGCATTCCAAATCTGTATAAAGAGCTGATTGAGATAAATTAGTACTTAAACAATAAATAGCCATTTAAAACAATTATTTTCTCAGAAACGAAGGAACGAACCATCTCTAGAGATTTTGACACTTTAAGATACACTGTTCTGCAATTTAGGTGGCTTTGATGAAAATCATCGAAGTGCTTTTGGTAGAACAAAGGTCTCAAACATGATGAAAATGACACTTGCTGCATTTTTCAGACAATTATTAACAAGGTAGCGAATGGGCATCAGAAGGTGTAGTAATAGGGGAGGTCTAAACGTCGAAAGATTTGGATGAAATCTTTTGTGCTTGCTTTCCTTCACAAGGAAGCAAACTGGGCAAAACTCCATCTGATCCGGAAAAAAAGTTAAAAAGTGAAACACTCTAATGATTAATTGATTCAATCTCCAAATCCTCTCATTCATGATTCTGTGGAACAGCAGGTAGGCCTACCATTCGGCAACGGTCGTATATCCTTTATTACTTTCACATTTATAACTTTCAATGTTATTCACATGTATTCCCAGACTATAATAGAATTAGAGAATGATGCATCTTCCCTATTCGTCACAGTGACGGTCCAGGCTCAGCATCCCATAAACAGGATGTGGGTCCGGTTTAAGGCCGAGCCGAGTGAACGAGTGTACGGTGGAGGAGAACAGTTTAGTTACCTCAACCTGAGAGGAAGGGCGTATCCGATCTGGACAAGGGAACAAGGTATGCATAGGTGATGTATGATAGGTGAGGCCGGGAGGTGAGGAAATGATCGCTTTGTTCAGGATATTAGTAACAAACCGATTATTGCGTCACCGTCAATACTTCCGGATGTGTTCCTCTTTGAACAACGTCAGATAGATAAATTGATGAATGGTTAAATCCGATGAATAAAGTAAGGAACAAATATCCTAACCTTTGAAACAAAAAGGTCAATGAATTTTTATCATGGTTGTTTTGTTAGGTGTTGGAAGAAATGAGAGTACCATAACAACGTTCTTTGCGCATCAGCGCGAGGGCGCTGGAGGTGCTTACCATACTACATACTTCCCCCAGCCATCTTTCGTCAGCTCCAGACACTACTTCTGTCATCTATTGGAGTCAGCGCCCAGTGCGTTCGACTTCTCGCACGAGGATTACCACGAGGTACGCTATATGGCCCCAAAATAATAATTGTTAAATAGTTAAAATTAATCAGATGGCATTTTATGAATTTCCTCCACTCGTTTTACCTTTTCGTCACCGCTAGCTATGCAAAACGAGCAGTCTTCACAAAATCAAGTGGTTGTGTTCCATCCCAAAATGCTGCAAAGCTGTTGTTCTGTACGGTTATTTGACTATTATTTTACCCTGATTTTATTATGTGTTATTTTGTATCGTTGGCTTGGCTTATCTAGTTTGGGTTGTTTCATATCTATTACATGCTTCGTTGTTTCTCATTTAGGTGGAAATCCTGAAGACAGAAGTTGGGTTTAAACTTGCATCGGGTAGCAGCATCCAGGAGACTGTTGAAAAGTTGACAGGTCTCCTGGGACGCCAACCTGAGCTGCCAGATTGGATCTATTCCGGGGCTATACTTGGAGTACAGGGTGGCACAGACAAGGTAGAATACATCATTTATTGACAGAGGCTTAAATGCCCAGCACGATTTGGCAACAAATATATCTATAAGTTTGTTTTGTATTTCTTAATGAAACGTCCTATAGTGGACGACCCGGGCCTAAGCTTCACAATGTGTCTGGTATATATTCTCCATATATGTACTGTAACATGGTATTTGAGATTATAAATTGGTATACTATGCATATTTATCATTCAATATGCATAATGACTTAGTCTATCATACCAAAAATTATGTTTTCACTCATTGTTAAATTTTTGAATGCCTTGTGATACCCCTTCCTGTGATTCAAGAATAAACGGTGAAAAGAAAAAATATTATCAATAATAATGTACCTGTTTTGTTATTATTTTTAGATGATATCGCACTTGACAGATGCACAAGAGGCTGGTGTTAAGGTCAGTGGACTGTGGATCCAGGATTGGGTGGGCAAGAAGGTGACATCATTCGGCAGCAGACTCTACTGGAACTGGGTATGGGATGAGAAATGGTATCCCAGTGAGTATGATCATGAGCGATTATTGTCCAGTCTCCAGCAAGCATTTTGGGAAGTTCGAGGGCCACTTGTTAAACATATTTTTTTAAAAGATTACTTTATGTAGCATCAATTCACATATGGCTGGGTCCTATTGGTTTGTGGACGAAGGATTCTGAGCCTTTTTACCCCCCTAGAATAATATTTGAGGGGGGTATTAGATTATCGTTCTATAACATCAACTTAATATTTGGTATAGTACTGAACCTACATAATATGTCACTAGTACAATGGTCAAGTGTATCCTAAAATTATAGAGAGATATGTTGATTGGTTTAGGAAAAACATAATTTATAGAAATAAAAAGGCATATTTCCATTCATTTTTTACTTTTACAAATCTAAGTTTTGCAGTTTCGGAGAAATAATAGACAGTAATAGTGCTCCAATAGTATTCATAAATCATTACAAGACTATGTGTGACATTGTAATATAAGGAATGTAATGATTAAGTACTATTTTGTATTTTAATATGGCTTTGTTGACCCCTACCCCTTACCCCTTTTTAGTCCTAACGATTTTATTGTTGCAGCTTCAGAGAAATAATAGGCAGTTATAGTGCTCCAAATAGTATTCATAAATTATAACCAAGTTATGCGTGGCATTGTAATATAAGTAATGTAATGATTAAGTACTATTTTGTATTTTTAATATGGCTTTGTTGACCCCTACCCCTTAGAAATATGAGGTAGTGAAGTTGACACAATTAGATCAGAAATTCTATGATGAGTACTACTACTTCTCCAAGTAACATTTAAAATGTATTTGTGTGATATATATAGGTAATTTAATGGGAGGGATGCAATCTGAATTTTATTTTGAGGGAAAATATGATATTGGCCAAGGAAAATATCATATTGACTGAGGGCCATAGCCCAAGTGTTAATATGATAGTTCTCGAGGCGAATAAAATAAATAAAATTCATATTCCACCAAGACCATCAATAACCTATTTATTCCATTTTTTTCTGAAACATAAAAATCAACAGAAATCCCAAAGAATGGTTCTGATACAGGATCTGATATGTGATTTAGGCCGATACAGGATTTAATATGGGATGTGATATTGGAATCCAGCTAATATGGGATCTTTTTAATATCAATTCTATTCCCTGTTTATTCCCTAGGGAAAACATGCTCTTATGGAATAATGTTATAATTTTGTAATGATCAACTTTTTTTTAATTTTTCTGTATGCCTTTGTTAGTCTAAAGGGTCATTTCTTCAACTTAAGTTCTTGTTTTTATATTTTTATTTTTTTTATTTAATATATCCTTTAAAAGTGCAATCATTTACATTCCAATGATGCCTTGAAGCATGAGCTCTGTCTAGTCCAGCATAGCTTACCCAGGCAAGCCCATGTGTATTTTATCAGCTAAGGGATTCCTTCGAGGGGGAACAGGTAATTGCTATTGCGTCTATGCTGTTTTATCTAAAAACTAATTATAGTTTGTTAGGGAGGAACCATATCAGCATCTTCTACCCCCCTCCCTATAATCATTCAATAGGGACAATTGACGAAACATACTTATTCACATAGCACTCCTAAATGCACTGTTTACCACTGAAGGAATCCTACAGTTGATTAAATTCACATGTGACTATAATGTAAACCTTTACCCATGAAAGAATGCTCACTCCTGAAGTTCAGATGCATCTCTGAGGATGCGGTGTAGAGCTGTAAGCTGTTTGTGCTTCCGAGGAAAATTCTTATATGATTTATTCATGAAGGGATTATATATTTTATTTGTTAACCCCCCTGTCCCACTCCGTTCATAAGTATAACACTCACTTACTCCAAATGTAGTTCATAAAGCAAACCTTTTTATACCCATGGCAGGATTCTACAGTTGATACAAAATTATCAAATTTTTGAAGAAAGAGAATCAACTATAGAACAAAAGTTTCAGAATTTATTTGAAAAAATGCCTCGGCAAGCTGCTTTTTTGTTAAATTTTGCTATTTTGAAAGAAGAAATGCAATTTACAATATTAAATGAATTATGCTTGTGTCTAAAAGATGTAATATTTATAAACAAATATCTTTACTTTAGTGGTTGATAAGCCCATGTGGGCTGGGTCGTTATTTTATTACTTTTCTTTTGTATTGAACTGTATTAAATGATGTAAACTTACCACTGTAAATAACAATAAAACTAAACTAAACTAAACTAGATATATTTCACCTGTTTCTCTGAGGGTTAAGAAACTGTATGATGTTTGTGGTTTGTGCTCCCAAGGAGAATTTTAATCTACCTTAACCTTGAAATTTAAGAATTATTTAGTTCATTCAATGTGAATTTTGATCTGAAAGTTTGATGATAATCTGTTAATTGTTTCAAAAACTACAGTCCTTTACAAAACATGCTCAAAGTGGGCACTTCTCCTCTCTATGCACAAACGAATCCTGCGAACAAAGTTGTTAATGACCCTTACCTATACACATTAATGTGGATGGTAAATATTGGGGTAGTTATTGCCCTCTTAAGATTGTTAGGGGCCTGTCAGTATACACATTGGCTTTGAAAATCCTCAAAGATAACAATTTGGGGGATTTAGATCAGGCGAATGAGCTGCCCATATGGTTTGCGTTCTGCAACTGATGAGCTGACCACCAAAGCATTGCCTAAACCAATTCAGCATATCATTTGCAGTGTTTGGGTGGTATTGGATTGTTGAAACCACTGTTTAATTATCTCCTTAGATGTCCCTTCTGGTGCTTAGTGACCTCTAAAACTTGGTGAGAACTTACTGGTCCTTGTTCATGGTGATAGCAAGTCCCCAGTCACCTTCGAACCAAAAGGGACTGATGATTCCATGTTTCCTCATTGCCACCCAGGGAGTGCATTGTTCAGAATGCAATGGATGATGTAACACTTCATCAGGAGGATGTTAGCCCCAGTAGCAATTGTTCTTGGAACAAACTTGTCCATTCGGAAAGACATGTGTGTAGGAGGATCATCAACAGCTTTGTTCGCCGGATTGAATTGTGCATAGAGATGAGATTTGCACATTTGGGGCATGTTTTGTAAGGAGCTGTAGTTTTTGACTCAATTGGTATTATTATCAAACTTTCACAACAAAATTACCATTGAATGAACTAAATGATTCTAAAATTTCAAGGCAAAATATGCAAAATTGACAGAGTTATTTAACTTTCTTACGGTCCTGTTTTTTTGGACACTCTGTACATATGTACCTCTGAGGGTCATGTTTGGAACTGTAAACAGTTTTTGCTCCCAAGGAAAATTTGAAGATGAATGACTTGACCCCCTTCTGCTCCACTTCATCCATTAGCAAAAGAAGAAAGACAGAAATGATTGTCCAGAAGTATTTCTTATTATGTTCCTTTTATATCTAAAATGATTCTACAATAGATAAAGTTTGCATGTACCTCTGACTCTGAAGAAACTGCGAATGACCCCCCCATTTCATTCAATAAATAAGGGATAAGGACTGGACTTTACTCACTTATTCCAAAATCATTTCTACAAATGTCCCCTTTACCCATGAAGGAATTTTTCAGTTGATACAGATTGCATTTGTAGTTGAGCATAATTCAAAGGTTTGCGTGAGACCCCCACATGGGAAGTGGTGGAGGTTTTGACAAAATAAAAATTGGGCTGTGAAACTCAAATCATGGGAGTAACCTATTAAGTCAATTTCCCTCAACCTGGAAGCAATAATAGAGAGTCAAATATAGTGAAAATTCCTATTATTAACAATATACAGGGTGTCCCGAAAGTATGGGGACTCCCATAGGCAGACATATACCAGTGTCGTCATAGTATGTGTCATATATCTTTTTAAACCTTATCCAAAGTTACATTGATTCACCAAGTATCATGGTTCAACTCTCAAATGTGAAAAAATTACAGGCATTTCAAAAAGAGTTTGGTCAAAATTAAGTTCAATTTTACACCAAATCACTAGTCAATGTGTCCTTCTGGGCCATCTCAACAGCAGCAATTATTTTCGGGTCGAATGGATATATTGATTTGGAAAAAGAGAATGGTGAGGGTAGAAACTCTAAGGAAACTCTATACTCTAAGGGTTATTTAAATTTCACACCCCTATTTGAAGGGCTTTTAAGGTCATATCTGAAGATAATTGTTGCTGTAAACATGGCCAAGGGGGACTCATTGACTGGTGATTTGGCGTAAAATTGAACTTTATTTTGACAAAACACTAACTTTTAAGATGACTGTAACTATTTCCCATTTGGGAGTTAAACCATGATATTTGGCAAATCAATGTAACTTTGGATAAGCTTTAAAATGATATATGACACATACTATGAGGACATTGGAATATGTCTGCCTAGGGGGGGGGGGGCTCATACTTTCGGGACACACTGTACTTTCGAAAGTCTCTACTCTCAGGACTCTTTGAATGGTGCATATTTGAGAATGTATAATGTTCATGTTCACGAGGAAAATTCTAATTATGTCAAACTTTACATTGTGCACTCTATATTTATAGGCATTCTTAGCATGTACATTATTTTCTTTCAGCCCATAAATTCCCATCCTCTTGGTCTATATATAAACATTGAAACAGGCTTTTGACCCAAGAAATTTTTGTTTTATGGCATTTGTGATACATATACAAGGCAGGACATAAGTAGTCATCTTAAAATTTCTGATCTAATTGTGCCACCTCTAGCTTGGAAATGATTTTTGAATACTACTTTGAGCACTATAACTGTCTATTATTTCTCTGAAGCTGCAACAATAAAATCGGTAAGACTGAAAAGGGTAAGGGGTAGGGGTCAACAAAGCCATATTAAAAATACAAAATAGTACTCAATCATAACATTCCTTATATCACAATGTCACACATAGCCTGGAAATGATTTTTAATTACAACTTGGAGCACTATTACTGACTATTATTTCTCTGAAGCTGCAAAAATAAGATCGGTGAAACTAAAAAAATAACAAAAATATTTTTATTTCGATAAATTATATTTTCTCCCAAACCAATCAACATATCTCTCTATAGTTTCTGGATACACTTATCCACTGTACTGGTGACATGTTATGTAGAAATCAGTACTATGGCAAATATTTCATTGATTTTATAGAATGATGATCTAATACCCCCTCAAATATTATTCTAGGGGGGTAAAAAGGCTCAGAATCCTTCGTCCACAAACTAATACGATCCAGACATATGTGAATTGATGCTACATAAAGTAATCTTTCAAAAAATGATGTCTAACAAGTGGCCCTCGAACTTCCCAAAATGCTTGCTGTAGAGTGGACTATTAGGAGTCAATAACAAATATGTTTTTTCAATGTTTGCAATGTTGGGCGTTCTTTTTGCATGTTACTCTCAAATTAGTTTCCTTTTTTGCTTTTAATACTCTTTTTATTTAACATCTTGAGTGTTCGATCAGGTATCTGTCACTTCACAATTTTATTCCAAACCCTATGTTTGAAAAAGTGGGAAAGGATTGAAAGAAGCCTTATGTAGATGTATAGACGCTCATTGTCATCAGTATATTGTTATGGATACAGTTTTCAGCATTTGTTTGCAACTTATCTTATTTTGCTACTACTGCAAGGGTATATAGTTTTGAAATATCTGGTTTTAGATTTAAAAACAGTTATGAGAGATCTTAAGGAAAAGGATATAAGAGTATTCGCATACATCAATCCGCATATCATCAACACCGGAAGTCTCTTCAACGATGCAGACAAAAAGGGGTATTTCATTAAGAACCAAGAAGGAACAACATATCTCCAAGACTTTGGTGAATACTTCTGTGGGACTGTTGATTTTACTAATCCAGAAGCATATAATTGGTACAAAGGTATGCTGCTAACGCAAATATACTGATATCAAGTTAGACATAGCAATTTTAATTTTCTTTATATCTAAATGGCTGAGAGAGACGCACGAAGATATGTAACATGAAACAGTAAAACGTCAAGTTCAAGGCATCACATATTCGTAAACGTTTCGATAGTAATCACAGTGTTATAACCTGATTTCAATAGGTGTCATCAAGACAAATATGATAGATTTGGGGTTTGGTGGTTGGATGGCAGACTTCTCCGAGTATACGCCTGTTGACGGCGTGTTTCATTCGGGAATTCCCGGAGAAGAGGCTCATAATCTATACCCAGTCCTATGGGCTCAGTGTAACAGAGAAGCAGTAGAAGAAGCAGGACAACTTGGTGAAATCCTCTATTGGATGAGGTCTGGTTTCTCAGGTATGTACAGTGCGGAACCCTCTCATTGTAAGACTTGCTACTCCTAAAAAGGGCCACTCATTCGCTCTCTGTGTCTTTAGTTTGAACTTTGAAACACATTCATTGATCAAATGGTGGTGTACTTGTCTGCTTCCTCATATTTGTTGTCCTATTTGATTTTTTAATTTGACTACTCTCATAGATATTTTTAATTGTTAATTGTGACTTGACAATTAATGTTTGTATTCTACATTTAGGGACCGGAAAGCATGCAGTGGTGATGTGGGCTGGTGACCAAAATGTGGATTTCAGCTACTCCGATGGCCTGCCTTCAGCAATAACAGGAGCACTATCAATGGGTTAGCATTTGTTTGCCCATATTACACTTTGCTAGAAGTTCTTAATGGAGATCTAAAGTTGACCAGTTGGTGTGTGCTTTGTATTCTTGACCTGTGCTGAATGATATATATGATTCTACATCAAAACATACTAAGCATGTAAGATAAACTGATTTTCACTTTCGATTATGTAGGAATGAGTGGTATGGGACTGACACACTTTGATGTAGGTGGCTATACAACATTTCCACCCATGGTTCGAACACCAGAGCTATTTCTACGTTCGGCAGAAGCCGCAATATTTACACCAGTTCTCAGGACGCATGAAGGTAATGCCATTGTCTGCATTCATTTACATTTCTCTTCATATTTACAGTGCTTCAATGTATGTTGATTCCTTGGTCCTTTTTTAAAAATCTACACAGCGCTCACAAGTAATTAATAATAGGGGTCTTCTCTTTATGTTTGATTCCATACTTTGCACATTTATCAAGACCGTGTCTGTTTATATCAACTTTGGTCCTTTACGAATTTTGAAAGATTTTAAGAAGTTGTGTATGGTAGCCTGTTTAATTTCCAGGTAACATGCCTCAGGCAAATTGGCAATTTTATTCCTCCCCAGGGACGATGTGTCGATTTGCAAGACTGACCCAATTGTTTACCACTCTACGGCCGTACATGAAAGAAGCAGTCAGGCAGAACGCAGAAAGCGGAACACCAGTTCAGCGACCTTTATTTTTCAATTATGAAAACGATCCTGTAACTTTGGACATTCAATATCAATACATGTTGGGAGATGACCTACTCGTTGCACCGGTACATCAACCACAGCAAACCTCCTGGTCATTGTATTTACCAGATGATGATTGGGTGTTCGTTTGGGATGGAAAAAATTACAAAGGGTTGAGTGACGTAACCGTCGATGCACCAATAGGAAAACCTCCCGCCTTTTACCGCAAAGGTTCAAAATGGACGCCATTATTTGAAAAACTATCGGGTATAATGGCTAGCTGTGGAGATGAAACAATACCACCACATATTCCATTAGATCAAAAAATAGTACAACTGGTTATGTCTCAAGTAGCGCCATCTAGTAGTCAAAATCAAGAAGTAAAAGACGAATTATGAGATACATATTTTAAATTGAGAAACAAAAGTTGTAAACTCTATACTGAATTTGAAAATCCCATAATTATTGAAGGAGTGTCAATCTGCAATTTAATGGTCATCTTTTGAATGGTAACAATATAATTTGAAATAGATATATATACTTTTCTCTATATTGTTTTAGAAAACACATCGGACACTTCTTTTGTTCTTGGTATCATATGTTCGGAGTGAAATGAAACATCTATCCGAACCTCATTGGAACAAAATTGTAATTATACAAAGGAAAGTTTGGATGATTTAAAAAAGTATCTTGTTAATGAAATCACTTTTTTGTTATATCAACCAAAATTTCCTTTGTACAACTATAATATTGGGAAAATGGTGTATATGCTATTACGTTCAAACAAGCTTCGGAAAGATATTCATTCTCAAGAAATGGTAAAAAGGAAAAAATCAATTGCACTAAAAAACAAAAAATATTAACAAAAACAGTTATATAAAATATATATAAATTATTTTCGCATTAAATTGTTGTCAATCAGTCAACATTACATAAAGGACCGTGTTTTTTACAGAATGTTTTCAATAATTGGTTTAAGAGAAAAACATTGTTGAATTCAGTTCTCCACAATCGATACCAATCATGTCTTAGTAGTGTTTAGGGCTTTTCTACTTTGGACACCCGATATACTTCGATAGTTGGTACAAGTAAATTAGGCAATACTTAGCGGAAGCAGGTATAATGCATAAAAGCTAAGTCAAAAGGAAATGGGATATATACAGTATGAGAGCTTTTTTTAAAAAGGAATGAGGTGTACGAGAGCTTTGTTATTAAAAATGTAACAATGAATCAAAATTAAGAAATACCAAATACGTTATAGTAAACTTAATATACACAATGTGGCAGGTATAATACGAAGCAGGGAAATGTCTGTTATCCCCAAGACTTGAACCTCATCTCTGGTGAGGTCACATCCACAGCTTTGTGCATTGTGTGCAATATCAGCTATACAATAAATCGTCAATTTGAGATTAACTTTTCTGTATATAAATAAGTACATTTGTTTAAAAGGTATTTAAAGAACTGTTTCTCTCATTTATACATTAAGTTTTAATAGTTAAAATATTACTGTAGCATTGGTTTCTGGGAGAACTAAATTTTAAAATGCATTTTTCATGCATGGATGAGTTCATTTCTCGCTATTTATCTTGACCAATTTTTCTTATTTTTGACAAAAAACACGTGAGGATGAATCGCTAAGCATTGTTGTAAACGAGAAGAATGGTGTTTGACGTCTAGTTTTGATGATATTGATTTTCGATGACCAAAATTATGCTGAAAACTATGAATAGCATGAGTTTTCCTAAGGGGAAAATAACATGGGATATGTGGTTTTGAACTTTAGCGCATTTCAATACCCATCCCCTTTTAAGAAATTGTTAATATAGTGTAGAAGAAACTTTTGATATGTTTAATTGAGAAAAACAAAATCCTCTTTTTAGATAATAAGCCTAACATTTTTCAGAGAGTTGGATTGATATTTTACTCTCATGTGGACTTGACTTGAAAGAAAACATATTGTTTCAATAAGAAATCACTGTATTTAAGGCCAGAGAGTACTAATTGTGAAAGATATATCCATCTCAAATCACTTGCCATACCTCACATGGTCTTTTTGGCATTTTTTTCCAAATTTGGGCCAAATTAGTGCTTTGTAAAACATACCCTTCTCTGGCATATGTAGGTGGGGGCATGGGGCCCGCCCGCCCCGCTCACATAGAAAGGGCCCAAAGAAATTTAGTAGGGCCTCATTTTTAGCATTACTTGGCATTTAAGGCCTTATCCTTTAATTTAAGCCCAAATTAACAATAAATTGGCCTAAATTTTCAAAATGTGGGCCCAATTTTTGCGGGGGGTGATGCTTGGGGGCCCTTACAAAAAGCTGGCTACGGGCATGTTTCTCATACACTTTAAATGACTCACTAGTCAGCAGTGAGACTTTAAATACTGTTTGTGGGCGTATGCCAAAGTGAAGTTTGAGAAGAGGTGGAATAAATCGTACATCCACTCATATCCCCATATTGGCATGCCATTTCCTTCGATTTATTAACGTTTTAAAGTAATGTGTGTTTGTTCAATAGAGGATAAGTTGAAATAAGGTGACGTAAGACACTTTTTCAAAGGACACGCTGTGACATTGTTAGGACGAATCTCCAACAAGAACAGGACATTGAATATAGGCTTCCAACATAGTAATAACACAATAAAGACAACGATTCAAAAATTAAACTATTAAGATTGGACCAATCCCTCCTGATCATGGGATCAGCCCTTCCCAGTTTGACATTGCAACCCGTGTTTTGAGTGCAATGAATAAGAGCATACAACATGCAGTTAAATTCCTTTCATGGATACTATCCCTGTATTTGCATGATGCATAAAACTAACAATGCGATCAATACTTGAGTAACTCTGAATGCATGTTATTTTCCAGGCCTATTCACTAATGACTTCTGGTTACATAATAGGCTGAACTCTTAGGGGTAATTTTGACCAACGGTCATCTATATTAATAGGGGTGTATTATGATAAACCAGTAACCCCAGCATCAGCGCATTCATGAGAATTTAATCAGCTGCCTTGTTAGATTTTAAAATAAATAACTGCTCATTTTGTGAAACCTCTGTATTAAACAGCGCACAATCTGAATAATTATTCTGTGTAATATTAGGAAATTCATAATAGTTTTGATATATTTTAAAGGGTCGTGTCCGACTCGTGTTACTGATCCAAACAGATGACGCCAATGAACTATTCTGCAGGATAGTTTTAGCCCTCTATCATTTGGGTATTAACAATTGACGTCCCTAAAATCATGAGCAAGTTATGAATTATTCCCAACGCTTGGATGAAGAGTGGAAAAGGAAAAGGGCATAAATCCCATACTCACTCGCAAAGATCGACTCTGAGCTCTCATTCAGGTGCTATGTTTAGTATATCAGTGATATTCCATTCCTAAAAATAACTACACGACAAGATTCCAGATATATATTTGCGAACTGGTGAACCGATAACAATGGATGAAGCTTTGGCCAAGTGACGCCATGGTATTTGATGAAGCGAGAGACGCCTATGGAGAACGCTATGCCCAATATTATGCATGTTACGCACATGTAGACGGTGTGTTGGGCAATGAGCAGGAATGTACTTTCCTTTACAAAAAGGTATGCGTGAATAAATGGTAAGTATGATTTCTGTACGAACGTTTTGTGCAAAAATTTATCAATTAGGAAGCTTCGCTTCCAAAAGATTAACATTGTACAACAAACAAAGATAACAGAGTTCTGTTTTGACCTCCAGTCAGCTAGTTCCACATATCATTTACATGACCAGGGTCACAATATGCATGGTCAGAATGACGCTAAACACGACGAAATAACTTTTTCAGCCCTTTGAAAATGTGACTCAGAATTTTTCAGAAAATGTGCCCAGTATAATGCTCTAACTGATACAATCTTTGAAACTTCAGAAAATTGTCTGAAACAAAAATGGCGGTCATAAAAAGGAAAATAGATCGTTTTTCAAATCAGTTTTTTCTTTTTTTTCTTTTTCTATGAATGATATCAAATTTTCAAAAATTGTATCATTTAGAGCAATATATTGGGCACAGTTTCTGAAAAATTCAAAAGTTTCTGTTAAGTGACCTTTCCTAGCTCCTACTTTTAGCTATTTTTCAGTCACATTTTCAGAGGCATGAACAGGTTATTTCATCATGTTAATGCCTAGGTCACATTTGCTGCGATTCATCGGCCGGCGCCCGGCCGATTGAGTATTTTGTTCCCAACTGAAAACAATTTTGAACAAAACACTCAATAGGCCGGGCGCCGGCCGATGAATCGGAGCAAATATGACCCAGGAATTATGGTCATTCTGACCATGAATATTGTGATCCTGGACCTGTAAATGGTATGTGGAACTAGAGTCCATTTCACTGCTTCATTTCGTCAGTAGAACGGCAAAATATAAGAAATTGGGAAACCATTGTGCAATAATATATGGAAAAGTATATTCATAATGTACATGAATGACATTTGTATATCTTGGATTGCTTCTAGTTTGGCTTATAAAGTGTGTGGCCTCTTATATTTGGATGTTTCTCTGCCATGTTATTTTCAATAAGATTAACATGGCTGAAATTCTTCAAATTACAAGACGGCACAGGCTTATTGCACAAAAAACTAAAAAATCTGAAATATACAAATGTCATTCATGTACATTATGAATATACTTTTCCATATATTATTGCACAATGGTCTCCCAATTTCTTATTTTTGCCGTTCTACTGAAGAAATGAAGCAGTGAAATGGACTCTAGTTGAATTGACTGGAGGTCAAAACAGAACTCTGTTATCTTTGTTCAAAAAATGTCTAAAAGTGCAGAATTTTTTGTCACTTCCTGTTCTGTCATTTCCTGTTAAGTATCATGGCACCTTAAGTAGTAAGGTACAATTAAGGTCAGGGTACATGTTCGGAATTGTGCTGCAACCCTCAATAGGGTGACATGTTATTTTTCAAATTTAAATCACTCCTTCCCCACAATGTCTACATCTTCAGCTTTTGCACAACGAGTACACTAATGTACCTAGAAAAGAATGTAAAGAAGAATGTTTTGATAAAATGTATAAAAAATTAATTGTTCAGGTATACGGTAATTGGGTAAGCAATAGGAGGTCAATTTTAAATAAGGCTAAAACAACTTTACAAATCATTTCAAATATAGCAGCCATATTTTTCAAGACGATCACAATTTTTCGGTCGAAATTTATAGTTTTGAGTTCTCCCCAGTTAGTAATGTAGATGATAATCCGGAATAAGCCAAATCCAATACATGGAATTAGAATTCCACTTCGGATAAACCAAAAAGAAAGGCGTCTTGACTATATTCCACACAATAGCCTGTATATTTAGAGAGAATATTGCATAACCCGCAGTTTATGAATTATATAAAGGTGTTACTATCACACCGGAACACCCGTCCCTGGCAACGGTAAAGTCAGATACCGTTGTCACAAATGGCGGACATAACCCTCGCTTCAACTCCTTTAATCACTCGGTCCTCGTTTAAAGGGGACCTTATCGTCGCTTATTCGGTGCGTGTATTAAGCTCTTGTGATGATGTATTACAAGAAATCCCAGAAAGAAATTTCGATCAATGGCGTCGTGAATCGACACAATA